TGTAACATCCTCATTGTTGCTCATTGTTCCTTTCAATGTTGCTGCTATTTTTCAATTTTTTGTTGAAACATGCTCAGTTAACTTAACACTTGCGAGTCAACTAATAAGAAGAGGTTACCTATTGTACCATTATGCCCCACGGCCTAATGTCCCGTTATGCCCCCAAATGTATCTTTACACTAAATAAATACAAAATATCATTGATAATCAATATCTGTGCAGAAATACTTTACTAAAGTGACTAGAAAAGATTGTTTAATAGCGTAAAATTACTTATGGTAATAAAAAATAGAATTTTATCATTGTTATCTCATGTTGATCTATCAACGAAATTATAAGCGAGTCACGGAGAGTGCAGCGAACGCATTAAACAATTTATAGCATTTCTCAGTTAAAAATAACATGACAACTGATAACAGCATGCGATAAGGATCATCTAATAGCAATAATTGCAAAATATTTCAATACATAACAGCACTTCTGTAAAAAGTTATAGATCATATCCCATTATGCCCCGCCGTTCCGTTATGCCCCGGGTTCCCCTATAATACATCTGGTTTTCCCAAAAATCAAATCGTCGTATCATAATAAAAATATACATAGATGTGATTGGCATTTGACGCTCTTAAACTTTTGCGTTAAAAGAATTTTTTAGTTTTTCAAAAATAATAGTGGGGGTGGGGGTAAATTAAAAAATATGTTGAAAAATATGATTACGCCATTGTGAAGACTACGAAAAACAATAAAACTTTTGTCTAAAACATTTTTTCATAAACCTTATATTTTCGAAGATATTCGTAAAAAATGAAAAAATCCGTTATTTTCGAGGGGCTGTTTCACCCCCTAAACGTCGAGATAAGCACGTACAAAAAAATACGGGTCTAATACTTTTTTATGCTCTACAACATATCCGAAGCGCATTGAAATCGGTGAGGGACACTTCCGACCGTTCCCTTGGAGAAAAAAAGATTATTTAAACGCTTGACTATTATCGGAAGTTCCTGATAGTCGGATTTCGGGAAGAATACGTCGGAAAGTTTCAGCCTGAAAAATTCGTCACATTTCGCAGAGTTTCACAATTTTCAATGAAACAACGGGACATCCGACAGTTCTCTCGCTAGTGAAGCCCTCTTTATTTATGGCTGCACCGTGTCGTTCCACCCGAACTATCTGAGATGGTTTATCGTCAAGTACAATGAACTTAAAAGGGGAATCGGAAAACTCGAACAGCGCAATCCAGCTTCCCTCTTTCGCCCGTCGCATTCCAGCGAGCATGCACGTTAATCCGAAAGTACCGAAGTACCGCCAGCTCTATCCCGCTCGGTCAAGACTATCCTCAAGGAAGACGATCACGGGGCGGGGAGGGGGGCGGGAGGGAGGGAGGGAGGAAAAGAGGAAGACGAAGGGTATGGAAGGCTAGCCACCTCGCAAGACGGGTGTAGGTGGCATCAGCGATGCGGGGCACGCCCGGTTAAGATTTCCTCCCAAGCGAGAATCTCAGCCACCCCGGCGGCGAGAAAAGGCAGAGAGAGAGACGGACCGAGAGAAGAGCGAATAGTGGAAAGGGGTGTCTATGTGCGCCGCTGTAGGGGTTCGTTGTCTAAGGGGCGAGGAGAGAAGCCCGGCTCTCGAAGGGTCGCCGCTCGTTTCTCTCATCCTGGCCGCGAGCTCTGATTGGCGGCCGGGGGCGGCTCCAACCCACGTGTTACCATGACTACCGGCGGGATAACCCGGCTGCCGCTGACTGAGGGTGAGAGAGAAAGCGGCTGCCTGCGGGAGGGGTGGTGGCGGCACGACGACGATGCGAAAGTACGCCGCTGGTGGGCAACGGAGGGCCCGTTAATGGACTCCCCCGTACGTCCATACGTCTGGCCGAGCAACCGGTATACGCGTACGTGTACACTCTCGCCCTCTCAGCATCGGCATCGGCACGGGCGGA